TAATAATTACAGTAGTAATAATCTATGTAGAAAATACTTTTTATTTTGAATGTAGGGCTCTGGGTTCTAGCTGCAATATGTGAAGTGAGGGACGGCTTTTCTTATCTAATAAAAATGATGCCTGTCTGTAAGAGGAGTCAAAATTATACTTATGGTTTAGCTTTCAGTACATATCCCATGTTGGATTATTTTTTTTCTTTTGCCAATCTCTGATGCTGGTTAATGTGTTGTCTTTTCAAAGATGAATATAGAATTCCTGCTGATGGTAAAGGGTTTGTATATTAAACCACTTATTTAGAATTTGGATATCTCTTTAGCCTAACTTTTCTCATGGTATAAAGTATGAAAACATTCTTTGAAGATTAATTTTTTGTACTATATTTTCCATTATTTTATTTTTTGAAGAATTATTGAGGGTCTTCCAGTGAAATATAGTACAGTATCTCCAAATTCAAATTAATACATGACTATTTATAATAATGTAATGATTAGATCACAGAACTAAAGCAAGGCTATTGAAATTATCTTTCATAATCTTGATATTGTGCATGTTGGCAAAATGATCATTGTTTTTCAACTCTTGCATCTCTTGGCATCAAAAGAAGTGGTAGTTGTGGAAATTTTATCAATTTCTAAAAGATTTTCTTTAAGTTTGCTTATACATATTACCCATTGGAATTTCATAATGTAATTATTATAATTGTTAGCTGGAGGTGGGAGGGGCAGTGCCTGCATTCTGAAGGAGTGGTAGGAATATTGCAGTTAGAGAGTAATCTGAACTGTGATGTCAAGACAGCCATTGAGTGAATGATTTCTTCGTTTTGTCACCCTGCCTTGGCGGGAGATGGGCATTGATGTAAAAAAAAAAAAAAAACTGTTGCTTAAATTTTTCATTTAGTATACAATTCTGTATGACCCACATGGGTTTAGTGCATATTATTATTGTGGCATACAGTACTTCATCAATATATGAAATTGTTTTCTCACTTGAAGCTTTAGTTTTTGCTTTTCTTAAAGATGTGTAGTTTTGATGAGTCAAGTAAAGAATAAAAATACACAATACCATGACTGGAACAATACATAAATAACCTGATTCTTATGATGTTTTGATCCAACTTGGGCCATTAACTAGTCACACGAAATGTTGTCATAAGTAACGTTCTCTAATGTGCAGAGTATTTGTGTATTGAGCCAAGTGAGATGCAGAGTTGTGGGAATCACACTTCTTTAACTCAACAGACAAAAACTTCATAATGACTGACGTATAGGAATGTATCCCCTTTTGACAATACATATACAGGTACATGGAGAGACAATATACACTATCTTTTGCCTGCTGCTTTATGTAAGTCTCACTTCTGATGCATTATTAAGCTTTATATGTTTTATTGAATTCATGACTGACAAACAGATTTGAAGCTCTAGACTAAAATTATTTTTATATTGGCAAGAAAGGTGCTAAACCTGTAGCCCCATAAGGGAATAGTAGGTAGTACAGTAACTAAAGAAATCCAGCCACTTTCTATAAAGCTTGGTCTTAGCACATTGTCTTCTGTAATGTAAATAATTTGTAGTCTGGATTAGAAAAATTAGTTGAAATATGTATAAATGTGTATGTCCTCTACCTTTAAACTGTCCTTTCCCTACTCAGTGTAAATATAAATTGTAATTTAGCTTGTATTCACAACACATTGAATAGCTGTTACAGAAGCATAAGGTGAAAAAGTGTTTTGGTGTAATTATCTAACCCATTTATGTGATTTTCAATATCAGTCTTGCAAGTATCCATTTATTTATATTTTTTAATTTAGATATATGTCTGTTGATATCCAGTACCTGGTACTCAATTTCCTATTAATTAGAAAAGTTTTAAGTGTTGACTATTCTACACTTTTATCTTTACAAAACTCTACACCGATACCCTTCTCTCAACATCACTGCAGAGCTCTTTACTTTACCCTCCCATCCCCCCCACACATCCCTTCTTTTTCATGTCACTTTTGTCCTAGTTGGCTATTTTTTTTTTTTTTCTTCAGCAAGTCGGCCATCTCCCAGGGTGACCCAAAAAAGAAAGAAAATCCCCAAAAAGAAAATACTTTCATCATCATTCAACACTTTCACCACATCACACATTATCACTGTTTTTGCAGAGGTGCTCAGAATACAACAGTTTAGAAGCATATACGTATAAAGATACACAACATATCCCTCCAAACAGCTAATATCCCAAACCCCTCCTTTAAAGTGCAGGCATTGTACTTCCCATTTCCAGGACTCGAGTCCGACTATATGAAAATAATGGTTTCCCTGAATACCTTCACTAAATATTACCCTGCTCACACTCCAACAGATCGTCAGGTCCCAAGTACCATTCGCCTCCATTTACTCCTATCTAACACGCTCACGCACGCTTGCTGGAAGTCCAAGCCCTGGTATACTCAGTAAACTTGTTCCTCTATAATTTTTACAATCTCTTTTGTCCCCTTTCCCTTTATATAAAGGGACTGTACATGCTCTCCACCAATCCCTAGGTACCTTCCCCTCTTTCATACATTTATTAAACAAAAGTACCAACCACTCCAACACTATATCCTCCCCTGCTTTTTAACATTTCTGTCATGATCTCATCAGTTCCAGCTGCTTTACCCCCTTTCATTCTACGTAATGCCTCACGTACCTCCCCCACACTTACATTCTGCTCTTCTTCACTCCTAAAAGATGGTATACCTCCCTGTCCAGTGCATGAAATTACCGCCTCCCTTTCTTCCTTAACATTTAAAAGTTCCTTGGCTATTATCTTCATTAAAAGACTATCATTTAATTCACCCACACATCTACATTATCAGTTCTTTACTTAGCTTTCCCTTCATATCCTCATTTTTCACTAGCCTTACAAAATTACACATGCAAGTTTTGCTTCAATGTCTTTTAGTGAATTTGTAAAACAACTACCACCTCAAATTTGGAGGTTTCATCAAAATACATCCCCTTCCTCACATATTGATGGGCAAGCAATGCCTTTGAAACAGTAATGGCACTTAATCAAGTCTAGAATTGATACATGTATGCATACACATATGTATTGGTGATCAAAAATAAACCACTTTCAACATCAATCACTCCCTAGCTGTATTTCAATAAGTGTACAGACATGCTTCAGTAACCCACTGAACTGTAACATCTCACTCAATATTTCAAGTGCAGGCAGTGTACTTTCAACACCTAGAATTCAAGCTCGTCTGATTGGCTTACTTGAATTAATTGATTGAAATTATCATGTTCCCACTACAACAACACATCACCTTGAAAAACAACCACTTGTCTCTGCTCTTCTGATTTAGCACTTAAGCATCTTCCAAGCACTTTCCTTCCAATCTGACCTCAAATATTCAATTCCTTACACTTCTTTCACCAGCTTGCTTTTTTCTGTGAGCTCACTTTCTTAAAGATTCCTCCACTAACTTAATCTTCTAAATTTTACAAGTAAAGAATCATTAGCAAAGAGTGACTGTTAAAACTTGCTCTTATGTTTTTAACACACAGGCTCTCTCCTGCATTCACCATCATTCATTCAATCACCATCTTGCCAGAAGCGTGTTGACTTCACTGTTATCTGACCAGACTCCAACATCCTCACCTCTCCTTTAGGGTTGCAATGATATAATATTGCATTAGTGCAATGATGCATATCATTGCAACCCTAAAGGAGGGGGTGAGGATTTTGTGGCTCAAAGGGTCATCTAAACTGTGAAATCAGCACACTTCTGGCAAACTGAATGAGTTCAGTGTTTTCTTTTTTGACATCTTACCTCACTAGGAGAGGGCTGGTTAAAAAAAAAAAATGAGAGTTTAACAATCACACTTTGCTAATGATTATTTATTTGCAAAATTTAGAAGATTAAGTTAGTAGAGGAATTTGAAAAAAGTTAGCTAAACATTTTCTCATATCCAGTACCACTTCAGTAGTTCAGTTCTAGACTCGATTGAGTGGCAGTACTGTTGTAAAAGCATTATTCATAACAGCTTTGAGCAATTGCTTGCCCATCAAGTTGTAAGGGAAAGGTTTTTTTTGACAAATCCTTCAGATCTGAGGTTGCAGTTGTTTTACAGATTGACTTGGAGAAGCTGAGGCAACACTTTAATACTGTGCAATTTTTTGAGACCAGTGAAAAATGTGGATATGTAACAGGGGTGCCCCAAAGTATCAGTACCATTGGGTATTGGCTAATTTTGATGGTACATCACCCTAAAATTGAGAATCAATATCGGCCAAAATTTTGGTATCGTCCCATGAAAGGAATACCAAGTAAAAAAAAAAAAAAAAAAAAAAATGATAATGTGGACATGTGGAAGGATTTAGGGACAATCTGTTGATGAACATAATAGCCAAGTAGCACAAAAGAAGTGATATTAACAAGGAAGTAAGTGTGGAGTTTTGCAAAAAAAAAAATGTCAGTGTAGAGTTTTGTAAAGATAAAAGTGTGGAATAGTCAACAGATACAACCTTCCTGATTAGTAGGAAATAAGAGTATAGGTACTGGATAACAACAGAGATTTTTTTTTTTTTTGTTCAACAAACCGGCCGTATCCCACCAAGGCAGGGTGGCCCAAAAAGAAAAACGAAAGTTTCTCTTTTTAAATTTAGTAATTTATACAGGAGAAGGGGTTACTAGGCCCTTGCCCCTGGCAACAACAGAGACAATTAAATTAAAAAATATAAATTAATTGCTTGGATACTTAAGATTGATGCTGCAAATTATGTTCTTTTTCTGTTCTCCTCACCTTTTTCCCTCAGTATAGCTAATTCTTCTGTCACTAGATCACATCTTTCACTAAATTTTTCTTTTAAGATATTTCTTTTCATTATTATTACCTCCTGCTATCATTCTCTTAAAATATGAACAAGTGGTTAGAATATTAAGATAAAAGTTAAATTATTGATTATATTTTTTGATGTCTCAGAGGTACAGTATATTAATGGTTTATTTTTTTTCTGACAGCCTCCGTGTTACTACCTCCATATATCCTGTTCCTTCAATCTGTGCTGAAGATCAGATTGCAGACTGGTTTGCTTCCCTTGACGAATGCCTACGCTGGAATGATCGCAAACGCCAAAAGCACTTTGACGATCCAGAGGACTTGAGCCCTACTGACCTCACCTCTGACCTTACTCATTCTTCAAGTTCAGATACACTTGACTCACTCAGTGAGAGAAATGAGGGCTGTGATAATTAGGTATGCTGTTATTGTTGTGCAAAACATAATTAACCCTTTCAGGGTCGACAGGCCCTCTCCCAGACTTGTTCTCAGGGTTTACAAATTTCAAAAAAAAAAAAAATATTTTTCCTTATGAGAAGATAGAGAATCTTTTCCCGATCATAATGACACCAAAAGTATGAAATTTGATGGAGAACTTACGGAATTATGCTCTCGCGAAGTTAGCGGTCTCGACGATGTTTAAGCATCAGCGATTTTGCCCACTTTGAGCCCTATTTTCGACCAATTCCAGTGTACTAGTCGACAAAAATCATAACTATTTCGCTAGAACTCCATTTTTTCTATTGAATGAGTACAAAACCCACCCATTTACCGATTTCAACTATCCAATAAAGTGGTCAGAATTTAGCAATTTTGCCAATTTCACACAAATTTCAAAAGATGCCAATTTCCAAATAGGGTCCAGAATAAACAAGAAAGACATTCCTGGCACTAAAATAACATTTCCTCTGTTCATTAGTCATGCTGTATAGCCCTTGTGGCTTAGCGCTTCTTTTTGATTATAATAATAATGTTCATTAGTCATGTCCCCATGCCCCTCTTACATTCTTTTGCTTTCCACTTTGAATTTTTATTCTCACAAAAAATAGAAGATTTACTCTTATGCAGACTACTGCATTAGTGTAGAAATGGTATAAATAATATCAGCGCACTTGGGAAAGAATATTAGACTTACCAGTTGACGTGTATTGATTTGTTTACTTTTGAACTTTGGCAAAAATCGAAGATTTCTGCTACTTTGAGCTCAATTTCAAGGTACTTTTCATTGTAAAACCAATCATATCTTCCATTCTATAAAATGAGACCAGGAAAACTAGAATACCATCATAAATACCATACGAAAATACAGTGCAAAGTCGCTGTTTTAAACCAAAAACACTGTCAAAGTTTTTTTTTCTCATTACGCACTGTGCTGCAGGATTTTTTTTATACTGTGCACACTGACCACATAGACCCATTCTTTCATATGTAGGCCTACCAGCTTTTTCTCACTAGATTTGAGGGCGCTAGAATTTAGGTGTACTAGTACGTCAGAAACCCTGAAAGGGTTAACAGTTGGTGCATTGTGGTATATTTATTACTTAAATTGTATAATCTGCCTTAGCAGCTGTCAAATTTCAAAGCCATTGATTATTACACTAACTAAATACTGAAGATGGGAAATCTCAATCTTAGCTGAGCTAGAGCTAAAAATAATTAATCATTGGTCTTGTTAAGTTAGACAGTTTCCCTTGCATGTGAAGGTTCATCTTTTTTTACTTCGATTCACAGTACAGTATGTCTATTTAAACTCAGGAACACACACATTCACACAGCTTAAGTGAATCACAATTTATTGGAGAAAAAGATGACAGATAAATGTACTTTTCATCTGGATTTTTTATTCTTAAATATAGTAGGGCCTTACTTAAATGGCAGGTTATGTTCCAGGCTACTGCCATAAAGTGGAACACCATTTTTTTTTTTTCCCCATTTATAAAATGCCAGATAAGTTTACATTAACATATATTAAGTTAGCAATAGAAATAGACATTAAAAAACAATAAAAAGTAAAATACACACACAGTACACTCATTACTTACCTTCAAATATTTGTAGTCTTAATAATGGGTGAAAGGTGAGTATTAATTATAGAAAGTGAGGTGTAGTAGCTTGCCACCTACCACACTTACACCAGATATACGACTTAAATTTAAAGCGCCCCAAAGCAATTATTATATTTATTATTATTATTGCCATCAACATACCTTGTTCACTGAGTTTAATAATTTCTGAATAAACTTAATAATGCAGAAGTCAGGAAGGAGTCACTGGGTCAGAATAAACACGTATTAATACCTGTCCACTTTTAGTTCAGACATGTAGTGGCATGAGTTTGAGAAGCATTTACCCCTACAGTACAAACACACATAGCGTTAGTGCAGTAGAATAAATAAATAGCTACCAGTGAAGGCATATGAAAGGAATAATTTTCTACAGTTACCCCCAATAATACCAGTGTGTACATACTTTCTCTGGTGTTGGACTAGAGAAAACATAATTCTCTCCATCACTCCTACAAGCCGCCTGGTAACCACATCTTGTATTTGTCAGTTTATGCTGTTGTGGTTGTATGTAGCGTGTTTCTTTTATAACTTTGAAAAAATATCAGACGGATTAATGAAAATGTCTATATTAACATAATATACAACATTTAATGTATCCCAGTATGTATTAGTATTATCATAATTATTTTGGCGTCAAGACTAGTGAGACACTTAGTGATTTTAATGTGTACCTGCACACCAGCACAGTATGTAAGTTTATTTAGGTACAGGTACACAGAAGCATAATTACATATCAGAGAAATTTAAAAATATAAAAAAACCTTTAAAAACCTTTGAATTTTGGGGGAGGATGTGGAGCTAAAGGGAACACCCTTTTCCTTACTTAACGCGGAGATCCTTCCTAAGCCCATGTCGTAAAATGAATTGCGTTGTGAGGAGCATCTTAATGGTGGGGTTTGTGTTTTCAATTTTGATATTGAAAACTTTAACTTTGCTGGTTTTTTTTTAAATGTTTTATACATAGGTACTGTATTAAAAATTTAAACAGAATAGGGAATTCAGCTCTAATATACTTTGGGAAAAAAACCTGTCGAGAACCTTTGTATTCTGAGGGTCGTAAATGGTACATCGCTAAGTGAGGAGAAGCTGATAAACAAACAGTGGCAACTGGAATGTATTAAGAGTCAGAGGGGGGGGGGGGGGATTAAAGATTTTTAGCCATAATTTAAAATATCTGATTAGCAAAATGCCATAAAGGGGGGGTCCTATGATTAGTCCTTTCAATTTAATTTTGATTATTTTTACAAGAATTTTTTTTTTTTTTAATAAAAATTTTTCTTATGTCTTCAGCATTTACATAAAAATATTTAATTTTTTCTGAAAGTTAATTATTTTTCCTCAGTTCATAAAAACCCAGATACATTTACAGAATTTGGGAAAATGTATTTTCATATGTGCGGACCAGTGAAATGAAGGACGCTGTATGAGTTTACACAAGTGCTCCTTCTCTAAAAAATACTGGTAAATTTACTAGGTCACAAATTAAGTGTTGCACATAACGTGCTTTGGCCCAAAAAATCAATCTTCATATATTCAGATTTGCCCTACTATTTTTTTTTTTTCAAGCTCATGTTTTTTTTAAAAATTATTTATTTTTAAAATTTAAATAGGTAGTAAAAGTGATTTTTTCCCAAACACCCTAGAGATGATTTTAATGATATACATAGTGATTAGTTTTTTCAAGATAAAGATTATGCTAAAAAAAAAGTGTTTAACTCGTGGGGTTTGCAGCCAGGGGGATTTTAAAGAACCTTCTGGTGTACCAAAAAATATATGATTTAAAAGAATATGATAAAGAAAGGAAAGCAAAATATTAGTGCGAGGTATAAGGCTTCACAAATTATATTTTGGGAAAGCTTTTTTAAACAGCATTAATGTTATTTGTTTGCACACAGTTTTTATATTTTCCAAAATATTCCAGGAATTCACTTTTTGACAGCAAAAATTTTTTCAGAATTTTTTTTATTTTTTTTTAGATGCAGTAAAAAAATTAAAGATTTTTTTTTTTTTATAATCCATCAGCCTTTCCCTCCCAAAGCGGGGTAATCACAAAAGAAAAAAACTTTTTACTACATAATGCGAGTTCTGTAAAAAACCACAGGTTACTCTTAATTATCAAATTTTAGCGATTTTTTTTTTTTTTCCTAATTTCATCTTATTGAAGTTGTTTTTTTAGAAATGTTTATTTTAAATCAAAATTTTAATACTGTACTTTGGTGGTCGCAAGGCCAAAATTTATTGCCAAAATACAATAGGAAAATTTAGTAATAATAGTCAACACTTAGGAACCAACAGCAGTCACGCTATTTTTAAGAAAGATATATACGTCAAAACGGTGATTTTTTGAAAATTTTGTTTTTTTTTTAGTTAATAGTTTGGGGGATTTGGGATGTATGGAAAAATCTTTTTGTTGAGTAAACCTGTTTTATGTTCTTTGTATTAAAATTTAAATACTTTTTAGAGATATTTTTGCAGCATTTCTTTATTTTCATTGTACAGGCATAAGATATTATTTTTTTTAAAAAATTTAATATTGTTGTCTGTTACATAAGTGATGTCAAAAAATTGCCTTGTTTTCTTGACAAAATTATGGATTTGTCAAAAAAAAAAAAATATGCCAAGAATTGTCAACAAATAAATTGACAAATTTTTTTATTAATAATTTAAAATCTCATAATTTTCGCATGTTAAAATATTTTTGGTTTAGTTACCAAAAACTTTTGCAATCCCCTTAAATGATTGACATTTCATTTAAATTAATTATTTGTTCCTAGTAAAACTAAACTAAAAAAAAATTTTGCTATTTTTTTTTGTTTCTTAAATTGTTTCGTATTTTTTACAAATTAATTGTTTTTATCAGGTAAACTGAAAAACCTTAACACTTCTACAACTTTTTAAAAAAAATATTTTTGCATCAAACATTTTGTCTTAAAAAATTGGGTATAGCACAAAAGATTAAAAGAATATTTATATCAGTTTATAAAAACTTTAAATAAAAATTATGAAAAAATGTTTTTCCCAAAATTTTTGCATTATAAAAGTTTTTGGGTTTTAAGCTATGAATGAAATTTTCTTTACTTTATCGGGGAAAAAATCTTTATTTAAAACTTTGCAAATTCATTGTATGTTGAATATTTTAATTATTTTTCCGAAAATGGCCTTTTTATTCCCAAATTTAAAAATATTAATATTTTTATGCGGGCTTTTTCCCCATCAAGGTGGGGTGCCCCTAGGAAAAAACACATTCATCACCCTTTATTCTAATTGTCTTTAAAAAAAATGCACGACATCATTCAAATGCCCTCAGAACTGAACATTTCCTCCCTCACTTCAAGTGCGGGGCACTGTTTTCCCCCTTGAGAAGCAAGTTTGCCTAACGGTTTTCCCATTAATTCCCCTTCTAGTGTTACTAGCTCACCCTTAAACGCACATCAAACCCTTAAAAAAAAATTTCCAATTTTATAATTTATTGTTTTTGTGTTAAACTGTATTTAAGGCTCCTGTTGTTGATGCACTTAACAAGGGAAAGAACTTTAAAATACTTTAAAGTACTGTACATTTTCTTTGACTTCATATTAAGTTACATTTTATTCTTTTTAAATGACTGATGATAACTGGTGCTGGTAATCAAATGAACTTAATGTTGGTGACCTTATTGCTTGAATAATTTTTTTTTTTTAAATTATGTAATAAAATTGAAATAATGTTTTAAAATGATACCCAGTTGCTTCTGTTTATACTTTGCTTTCTTTATTGAAGTACTTTATTACATAAGATTTATAATGGTTGAAAGTTTATTTACTTTTAAATTTACTGAGAAACTTTTATTTTTTTATAAACGAGTTTGGCTATAATTTTGAATTCCCTAAAAAAAAAACCCTTTGGTGCATTGAAAGCAGTGTTTGGGTAAATTGGAAAACTTAAGGAATTTGGAAATTAAAAAAAAATTCATGATAATGTGAATAATGAGGAAAGTTTCCAAAAAAATTAAGGTACAATAAGAAATTAAAAGTATTACTGCACTGTCCAGGGTACATAAATTCTTTTATTTAGGCTTTTTGGTCATTTCAGTTTTAGATTCCCAGTTTTTTTTTAAAGCCCATCTAAATTTTGTAGGAAAAAGCTTTCTCCATTAATTTAAAAAATGAGAAACTTTAAAGGTAAACGAGAATGCTACTTTAACGAAAATTTGTTAGTTATATTGTGTTTTTTTCCCATCTTTTTAAAACAGCATGAAAAAATCCCGGGATTATGGGCTTATATTTTTTATTTAAATGTCTATCAAGTGATAAAATCGATTATACCAGATAAGCTTTTTTAAGTCTGGATTAGAGCAACTGGGAATGGGAATATGCGGCTTGATCCAAGGTGGGAAAAGGTGCTCCAAATTTCCCGGGGATCAAAAGCCCTTCAGTAGCATTAAGCAAGAGTAATAGTATCATATAAGAGCCATAAACCCAGTGCAAGGGAAATCAAACCCCTTTTTTTATAGAATTCTAATATTTTAAAAATAGATTTTTTGATAGACATGCACTAGAATTTGGAATTAAATCATACCAGTAACACAAAAACTTTTTTTTAAATTTTGGCTTGTTTTTTCCATCCCATAATTTTAAAAATCTTTTTTACAAATTTGCTACAAAATAAATTTAAGCTTATTTTATGATGGTTCCCAGTGTAAATATATTGGGGGGCATGTTCGGCCCCTGTAGGGGTGCAAGGCTGTTTTTTTTTGGGGTCATATTTTGGTGGAAAAGGTAATTTGTTGGGGGCCATGAAAAATATTTTTTAAATTGGCATAATTATTAAGGAAAAAAAATATTGTATAGCTGTGATTATTATAAAAGTTAGAAATATATTGTGATGATATGGCAGTTATGTAAATGCAAATTTTAAATGAAAAACTTTCTCATTTTCTTTAAATGAAAAATATTACTAGATGTTCATATTTTTGTCTACCAGCCGGGGATGGGGTTTTGTTTCGGGTTCCATTCATTTACTGGCCAAAATCATGGTGCTTAACGACTGGTTGAGAACTTTTTAATCACCCACAGCACAACACGTGAATTAAAATATTTTGGAGAGCAAATTTTTTTCATTATCCATTATATCCAGTAATTTTTTTAAAGTTTGTGTGGTAAAATTTAAACCAAGGTATTACTTGATTTAAAAATTTTTTTTAAATTTGATAATTGTTTAACAAAATTTATATGTATTCAGCTAAAAAAGTTTCTACTGATTTATGGTTTTAGTCCCTGATGATCATAATACAATACACAAAAAGTTTTTTTTTTTAAAATTTACAAAGTTTTTTAAATATGCTAAAGCTATTTAATTTAATATTGGTATTTCACCTTATTTTAGAAAAATGTATATTAATTCACTTTACAGTATCGGGAAAGTTTTTTTGAATGGATTTTGAGAGATTTTTTTAAAAGTAATTGGTTATCCACTGAAAAACCAACTAACATTATTTCCAATAGCTATTTGTGCTAGAGAAAAGCCCTCGAAAAGGAAATTAAGAAATCATTTGTTATGATCTATTTTTGTTCAGGGGGGAGTTCGAACACGGGTGGGTAAAGTAAACTACGTAGGCTGGTTGGGTTTTACGGAAAAGGGGGAAAAAGCGCCAAACACCGTGGCCATCCCTTGCTTCTCTCGAAAGCTGCCCGCCCACAGTA